CCTATCAACAAGACTACTCACCGTGATCTACACACTGCAGCGGACACGCCTTCTCTTCCCCTGCTGTGTTCCTGCTGTATGTACAAAACACATATAGAAAATATATCGTCATAATCATATGTCTATTTGCTTTCATATTTCATGTGTAGAAAAATGTTTCACTCGTTTTTTTAAACATGGAAGATCTAGAGAGATAACGCGCTCTGACTCATAACACTCGCGCACGTGGAAGAAAACGGACACTCCAGATCACATAATTCAATGGAGAATTTAGAAATTATATTAAGAACATGTGAGAATAAATCTGTTCTCAGATACCAAAGATAACAGGAACTCGGCATCCACTCTCTTCTCTCTACCAGGATACACTTTTTCTGTGTTTGTTTACACTGGTTTTCGAAACAGCGCCACCACTGTCACCCTTTTGTGCAACAGCAGCTGCTCTGGGCACGTGATCTAAGCTCAAATCTGATTGGACGGCCCGTTTCATCGTGGAGCGACGGGGAAAAAATCGACACACAGGACGGAAAAAAAACCTCGCTTTTTCACACCGCGAATGATCGTGCCTGGTGTGAATAGCCCCATAGGGATCTATTGTTATTCCTGCTGGCGTTCACATCAATCCACAAGTCGTTCTTATAGGCAGAGGCGTCATGCCCATTCAAAGTGATTTTTAAGCCAAGTGGATTTTGAATGCAGCTTCCAAAAGACAAAAAATAGCCGAATAATATTTTCTATATTTCATACAATCACACCAGCATGATTAAATCGTTCAGTGCGTCATATCATCAGCTGCTAAATTCAAATCTAAGTTCGCTGGCTGGCTGACAAATCCAGAGACAAATGCGTCGACGTGTTTTTACAGCACTGCGCATTATAACCAATCACACACGATGCTGTTGAGCTTATGAATGCAATGACCAATCAGAGGCGTTCAGATGAGTCATCGCTAAAATGCCGTGTTTTCTTCACTCGCTCGCTGACTGAATAGCTCTTTCTGGCGAATTCTCTCGTTAGAAACAACAAACTGCAGATGTGTGTATGAATCTGTAAGTAAGATATTAATTTCACAGCGTAAACAGCTTCAGTGATTTTAATGGGAGTTTTTGAGAGTGCTTGAACTGTAGACTGTCAGTGAAAATGTTCTATGATAATGTAAATGTGCTTTACGTCAGAATCTTCTCCTTCACTTTGCTGAATAACCTAAGAATATGGCTTATAAACTATTACAGCTCACTTGAGGTTCGCTCATCAGAGGGCGGTGCCTGGATTACCGCTCCTCTGCAGCGTTCAGGTGAGTATGACATTTTTCTTTAGATGCCAGATGAGTCCGTCTGCCCTCTATCAGTGGTGGACCTTAAAGACTCTGGTGATGAGTTCATGCCGACAAAATGTCTGCATTCCTCTCACCCATCAAACCTGCAGGACATCAGCCCGGCTTCTCACGTCTCCCTTCCATGGCGGAGCGCAGATACTGGAGCGAAGGGTTCTCATGTCGCCGCAGATGCCGCATGACCCACTGTCTAAAAAGTGTGCAGCTCCCTGCCTCAGAGTGGCGTTCTGCCGTGTGCAAAGCACAATCACTGGCTCCTCACTCGTTCACACGATACCAGCCCCTCATCAGTGGCTGCCGTGTTTGGAAGACACTGCTCTTTCATTCACATGAGACCAGCCCCACGTCAGCGGCTGCTGTATGTAGAGGACTCCACTCTCTCACTCATTCAGGGCGATATGCAGCCCCCGCTTCAGTGCGGCGACAAGCGCTTCAGTCGCTTACCCACTCACCAGCAGTAAAGCGGCAAGGAGTCACCTGATGCCCCTGCTTGGAAAAGCGTGTGAAGGCGAGGAGTCACCTGATACCCCTGCTTGGAAAAGCACGCGAAGGCAAGGAGTCACCTGATGCGACTGTGCGGAAAAGCGCGCGAAGGCGAGGAGTCACCTGATGCCCAGGCACACGTCTTATCAGCCTTCCAGATTTCGCTGGACTATTACGTCAGTTGTTCACACCCCTACGAAGTGGTGTTCAACTAGGTCGTATAGCCATTCACAGTCTGTAGTGACAGGCGCAGATGCCGCCGCCCACACCGGTTAAAATGCGCGCCATGCAAAGCAATGAGCCTCGTTATGCCGAGGTGCGCTTTCCAGCAGCAGATCGTGAGATAGAGGTCTTCTTTGGCGCACGGCTCATCGCAGTGCAGGGACACCAGGCCCGCGACCGCTGCTGCCAGGAGCCGGATGTGCGGAGAAAAGTGTAAATGGGCCCAGGAAGAGGCACCACGGCAAGCGGAGGAGCCCGCGCCGTGACTCCCGCCCGCCGTCAGCTGCCAAGCCTTCGTCCTGACAGCCCGGAGAGGAGGGAAGAGTAGCTTACGTGATCGGCCCAGCCCCCAAGCTGTCTCAAAATTGTTTACATTTGTGTTTGATGTGTGTGTGGGATCATTAAAAAATGCATACATGTGCACAAAAGAGCTCTTTCTTCCTCACTCAGTCAATGTAGCGCCGCTCGCCCTGCCTCAGAGCGGTGCAGAGCCTCTGCTCACACATGTTATAGCCGCGCAGCACTCGCCGGCGCATCCAACGACCAAGCCGCTAAAGCCGCTATGTCAGTTCCTGAGCGCGTGGAAAACGATTCCGGGAATCTCGCGCTGGTTACTCGGTGTGATAGAGCGTGGGTATGCCCTTGAATTCAGACACAGACCACCCCATATCAACGGCATGGTGAAGTCTCTAACATTGACTCGAAATGCCCTGGTTCTGAGACAAGAGGTATGCAACCTGCTCGAAAAAGGAGCGGTAGAACGAGTCCCTCCGAGCGAGCTGGAGCTGCCCATTTTACAACCGCCATTTTATGGTGCCCAAGCGAGATGCAGGACTCCGCCCGATTCTAGATCTCAGGCCCATCAACAGAGTGCTCTGCAAGCGTGCGTTCAGGATGATAAAACAGACCCTGGCGCGAATTCGCCCCGGGTACTGGTTGCGTCCATGAATTTAAAGGACGCGTACTTTCACATTCAGATAGCAGCGCATCATTGATTTCTGAGATTTGCTTTCGAGGCACAGCGTACCAGTACTCTGTTCTCCTGTTTGGGCTGGCTTTGGCCCCGCGCACTTTCTTGAAGTGCATGGACGCAGCTCTCGCCCCCCCTCAGAGCGAGTGGGATGCGCGTTCTCAATTATTTGGATGACTGGCTGATCTTAGCTCAGTCACGGGACACACTATAGACAGCCATATAGACAAACTGTTTCATCACTTGGAGTTCTTGGGGCTATGTGTGAATGTGCGTAAGAGCATTCTCGCCCCGAGTCTATAACGTATCTGAGAGAGTGCTTCGACTCGGCGGAGATGCGCGCTTGCCTCTCTTGGGAAGACAGGGGAATGGCCGCCGAGCGCTCCCGAGAGAGGCGAGCGCGCGGCGGCCATTGTCTTCCCTGCACCATTTCAGACTGGGCAGCTCTGATCACTTGAAGTAATGTCAGAGGCTGCTGGGACTCATGGCAGCGGCATCAGTATGTCATCTGGGTTTACTACACATGCGCCCGCTGCAGTTATGGCTGAAATCTCGAGTCCCTTGGACGGCGTGGACTTCGGACCGTTTGCGCATCGCGGTCTCCCGCGACTGCATCGAAGCCCTGAGGCTGTGGCGCAAAGATCTCCTCAGCCGGGGGGTTCCCCTGAGCTTGATGACGTCATGTGTCTTGGTCACGACGGACGCGTCGACTCGCAGATGGGGAGCAGTGTGCGAGGGCATGCCGGTTTCAGGGCTGTGGTCAGAACCTCAGAGCCGGTGGCACATAAACCGCTTGGAGCTGGAAGCAGTGTTCTTAGCTCTAAAGGATTTACGGCCGCAGCTGAAACAGCGACATGTACTAATTCGCACCGACAACGTCTGTGGTGTCGTACATAAATCACCAAGGGGGCATATGATCCAAGGCTCGGTACAAGCAGGCAGCGAATCTCCTGTTATGGACGGACCGTCACTTTCTCTCCATCAGAGCAGCTGTAGGGTATCAGACCGAATCAGACAATTTAAGATTTGAATATACAACACCCAGAGCAAAGACGACATCTAATTGGTCAAAACACCGTTTGGGAGGTGTCCAAAAGCCCAGTTTAAATACTCAGGACACCATCAAATAATTCTCTGCCGCCCTTTTTTTGCCTTTTTCTAGTCACCAGTCATCACGTTTTGCGCTCTTTGAGCGTGCTCTGGCTTCCACGCCAGCTCCTCTAAAACCA